GTGATTATTGTTTTTCCAGAGATACCGTTCCAGTGGTTGAAAAATCTAACTTAAAATTGCAATCCACTTTATTCCTCTGAAATAATAAACGTTCTCCTCTCAAGTTGTTTCATGGAAATAATTTTAAAGAGACGCGGGTAAATTTTGAATTTCAATCCGTTCATTTGGCTGGGAATGAGAGATGAATTGTAGATATTCTTCGGTTGAACCGAAGAGAAACGTATGCACTTCCGTTACCAAATATATTTCGCAATATTTCGTACTCGTTTCCTTCGATTTTCTGAAAAGCGAAATTCAAAATATAAATCCAAATTAATAATCCATGACGTCGCATTTTCGAAAGTGTAACACGTAATACCCAGAAATATTTTCCAATCATCATTAGCGTCGCGTAAATTTAAAACTTGTAATAATGTTCATTCCATTGCAAATTTATCTCGATAGATGACAAGGAAAAATTACAACAATTATTGTAAAAATTATCTTGAAATATAATCCATCCATTTCATCCGTTATAAGAAGTTTAATTAAATCATATAGGATACAACATATCAATACATTTCGATTTACCATGTTCATCTTGCCTCAAACAATAAAGCTTGTCTACTTTCACTTTAATTCTGATTCTTTAATTTTGACTATAACTATGATAACCTATAAATCACCATTAACTCTATACACTGTTGAATTTCTCACAAATGCACAACACGTGATAATCAAATAAATAAAACCCATAGTTTGATCCACAGCACCACAAGTGTACAGCATCGAAAATCGATTCGACTTGGGAATAATCAGCCCAGTCGGTCGGTCAGTCGTACTTTTCTTTTCTTTTCTTTTCTTTTCTTTTTTCATTTCGAGATATCGTCGCGTGGAAACCCATGGACATTTCGCGTCCGTCTATTTCCCGCCGCTTGCATAATGCATGCGCCGCATCCGTGCACTCCGCAGCATTCCCTTTTGCACTTACTTCTCCTCCCATCCCAAGGGGGAGGTTGCGATACTTTGTTTGCCGCCGTTCGCCCTCGTACGTCGTGCTCTTTCCACAGTTGGCCGACCCCGCTCGTCCCACGAGACCTCACTTGCACTCTTGTGAATCGCATCCTCCACACATCCCTCGTCTTTCCGCCTTAATTACGATCATTTCTATCGAGAATTTCGGCTTGATCTTCAAACCGTGGAAAAGGATACCTCGCGGTTGGTCGAACCTTTTGGGACTGTTCTTTACGCGGTGTCTCGATATATTCTTGTTTGAGAAGTAATTAACGGTGATCAAGGAGGGGTGGATAATGGAAGGAATAATTGTGTAATGGGTTTGTTGCCGGTTTTTTTTTTTTAAATTCGAAGTTAATTTTGGAAAGAAAATTTCGAACTTCTTACTAGTCTAATCGAATTAAAAGGATTTTTCTCGAAGTAAAGGAGTTTTAATTTATTACCTTTTTTTTTTTTTTTGTCATCAATTTAGCGGAGAAAAATCGAGATGCACATGGTAACCTTTTGTTTCCAAAAACTCGCAATACCACGATACAACACACGACAAACGTATACGAGAGGATCTCGACAGATCGTATACCCCCGTTTTTCCTGCCCCCTAAAGGTCAGGAATTCCGGCAGTGCATTAAAGTTTAACCGTACAAGTCAAACACAGTATTAACCGCGTTGTTTACGTTCACGATGGAATTCCAGTCGCTTCGTATCTCACAATTAGATCCTTCTAGTCCCCAGCTTCTGGACCGATGGCCTCGTCCGTGGACCAACGATCCTCCGGATTGTGGCGGGGTTGAACATCGATCGCGGTTGAAAGGATTTGGAATGTAACCTATTCAGATCGTGCTCCTCCACCTCCATCTCCCTTCTCTCCACTCCCTCCTCCTCGCCCTCGACACGCTGATCAATATGTGCGGGGGAAAGTCTTTCTCGGGTTTCCCGTCACGTTTTTCAGCCGGAGATACGTCCATTCTTGGCCGTGTGATTCTTCTTTATCAGACCCGTTTTGACATTTATCTGATTAAAATCGAACGACCCGTTTCCTTTGAGGGCGAGACCCATCTCTCTCTCTCTCTCTCCCTCTTCGAATCCCTTCTCACGTTTCAATACGTCAAACGCTAATTTTGATATCTCGTTTCGAGTACGGTGAACGGCTCGAGAATATAAATATTCGCTTCGCTTTTGAAATAAATTTTGTTCCTTTTTTTTGAACAAGTAGATCGAATCAAGATCATTATTAGATTGGCGTTAAATCGGCCGTGAATTTTAAATCGTCGTCGTTAAATGTATTTGGAAATTTATCGCTCCGCTTTGGGATTTACTGCCATCAATTTTTCACCGAACCGAGCTACATTTTACGAGGGAAATCACTGTATTTAGATAACTCGAAAGATTACGAATTTAATTCCACAAACCAATTACTCACCATCGGATATATCTCATTTTCGTCACGCGAAATTTTATTAGAATGATAAATCATTGGAATGATCGTTTACTTGAACGTTTTCAACTCGACTTTTAATCGTCGAACAATCCTAAATTCTAATTCATTTTCCATCGCAAAACCAACCAAACCTCTAATTACCCCTCGTTCTCCGCTCCCAACGTGTATGCATATCTATTCCACTCAGCATTGTAGCACTGACAAGGGGCACGAGTTACGCGCGCGCGTAACACGACAGTTAAAGGCATCCCACGCCAGAATTTCACCGATCCTGCGATGTCGCCATTGCTCACCCCGCCTGATATCTCCTTTCCATCCATCCATCCCTTCCCCTACCAATAATCCTCGAAAATTCCGTGAAACGATCTTTCCTACACGGGCCGAATTACAATTCTTACAATACCCACCACGTCGACGTCGAGGTTAACGTGCAATATGCACGAAAGCACGTCAAAAGATATATACGAAGAGGAGAGAGAGAGAGAGAGAGAGAGAGAGAGAGAGAGAGAGAGAGAGAGAAGAAGAAAATAAAATAAAAGTAAGAAACGTAACCGTAACCCG